CTCTCAGAGCAAATGAAAAGGGTGAAGCTTAATAAAAACAAATCCAAAAGCAGGTCTCAAAGGATTTTCAGTGGTGGTCTCCCAATATATCCAAAGTCTGTTTTCTTTTTTTTATTCTAATTTGTTATGTATGACAGCAAAATGCATTACAATTCATATTACACATATAAAGCACAGTTTTTCATATTTTTGGTTGTATACAAAATAGAGTCACACCATTTGAGTCTTCATACATATACTTAGGGTAATGATGTCCATTTCATTCCACCATCTTTCCTTCCCCCATGCACCCTCCCTTCACCTCCCCTTCCCTTTGCCCTGTCTAGAGTTTGTCTGTTCCTCCCATGCTCCCCCACCCAACCTCATCATGAAACAGCATACTTACATCAGAGAAAAACTTTGGGTATTTGGTTTTGGGGATTGGCTTACTTCACTTAGCATTATTTTCTCTACTCCAACCAGCAAATGCCATGATTTTATTCTCTTTTAATACTGAGTAATATTCCATGTGTATATACCACATTTAATTTATACATTCATCTACTGAAGGGCAACTAGTTTGGTTCCACAGTTTAGCTATAGTGAATTGTGTTACTTACTATAAACATTGATGTGGCTGTGTCCCTGTAGTACACTGTTTTTAAGTCCTTTGGGAATAGACCAAGGAGAAGGATAGCTGGGTCAAATGGTGGTTCCATTCCTAGTTCTCCAAGAAATCTCCATACTGCTTTCCATATTGGCTACACCAATTTGCAGTCCCACCAGCAATGTATGAGTGTGCCTTTTTCCTCACATCTTCGCCAACACTTATTGTTGTTTGTATTCTTAATAGCTGCCATTCTGACTGGAATGAGATGAAATCTTAATTAAGAGTAATTTTGATTTACATTTCTCTAATTGCTAGAGATGTTGAACATTTTTTCCTATATTTGCTGATTGAATGTATATGATCTTCTGAGAAGTGTCTGTTTAGTTCCTTGGCCCATTTATTGATAGGGTTATTTGTTTTTTTGGTTTTAGTATTTTTGAGTTCTTTATATATCCTAGAGATTAGTGCTCTATCTGATATGCATGTGGTAAAATTTGCTCCCAAAATGTAGGCTCTCTGTTCACCTCAGAGATTGTTTCTTTTGCTGAGAAGAAGCTTTTTAGTTTGAATCCATCCCATTTATTTTTTTTAATATTTATTTTTTAGTTTTAGGTGGACATATATCTTTATTATATTTTTATGAGGTGCTGAGGATCAAACCCAGTGCCTCATGCATGCTAGACAAGCACTCTACCTCTGAGCCACAACCCAGTTATTGATTCTTGACTTTAATTCTTGTGCTATAGGAGTCTTATTAAGAAAATTGGGGCCTAATCGACATGATGGAGATTGGGGCCTACTTTTTCTTCTATTAAACTCATTGTCTCTGGTCTAATTCCTAGGGCCTTGATCCACTTTGAGCTGAGTTTTGTGGATGGTAAGAGAGAGGGGCTTAATTTCATTTTGCTGCATATGGATTTCCAGTTTTCCCAGCACCATTTGTTGAAAAGGCTATCTTTTCTCCAATGTATGTTTTTGGCACCTTTGTCTAATATAAGATAACTGTAATTATGTGGGTTTGTCTCTGGGTCCTCTATTCTGTACCATTGGTCTACCAGTCTATTTTGGTGCCAATGTCATGCTGTTTTTGTTACTATTGCTCTGTAGTATAGTTAAAGGTCTGTATAGTGATGACACCTGCTTTACTCTTCTTGCTAAGGATTGCTTTAGCTATTCTGGGTCTCTTATTTTTCCAGATGAATTTCATGATTGTTTTTTCTATTTCTATGAGAAATGTCATTAGGATTTTGATTGAAATTGCATTAAATCTGTTTTGTGTGTGTGTGTGGTACTGGGGATTGAACCCAGGGCCTTGTACATGTGAGGCAAGCACTCTACCAACTGAGCTATATCCTCAACCCATGTATTAAATCTGTGTAGTGCTTTTGATAGTATGGTCATTTGACAGTATTAATTCTGCCTATCCAAAGAACAAGGCAGATCTTTCCATCTTCTAAGGTCTTCTTTAATTTCTTTCTTTAGCATTCTGTAGTTTTCATTGTAGAGGTCTTTCACCTCTTTCTTTAAGTTGATTTCCAAGTATGTATGTATGTATGTATGCATGTATGTATTGGTGCTGGGGATTGAACCAGGGCCTTGTGCATGAGAGGCAAGTACTCTACCAACTGAGATATATACCAGCCCCCAAGGTTTTTTTTCTGTTTTTTTTTTTTGAAGCTATTGTAAATGGGGTTTTCCTCATTTCTCCTTCAGAGGGGTTGACACTGATAGACAGAAATACCTTTGATTTATCGGTGTTGATTTTATATCCTGCTACTTTGATGAATTCATTTATTAGTTCTAGAAATTTTCTGGTGGAATTTTTTGGGTGTTCTAGGTATAGAATCATATCGTTAGCAAATAGTGCTAATTCTTCTTTCCCTATCCATATCCCTTTAATTTCCCAAAGTCTGTTTTCTTGAAGTGAATTAAAACCAACTTTCCCACAATAAATGTCCCATTATGTATAATTATAATGCGGTATTTAAAAAAGAAAAAAAAAAACTTTCCCCAAAGGAAGACTATTGTTCATTGCAGATGTATGGGAATACTACAGAATGGAACTATTTTAAGTTTTAAGGTTGGAATGAAGCACATTTGACTAGGAATAAATGTGAGAAGGTCCACCTACGGACAGAAGATGGCCAAATGACAAAAATCTATCAAACTCAGAACTTATCTTTTAAATAGAATTAGTGGCTATCAATTGAAATAAAACAGTGTCATAAACTTGTGGCCTTAAAGAAATATCTATAACAGATTATAGCTTCTTAGCCTTATAGATAATTTTTCAAAGAGTTAAGTTAAAGCTTACTTGCTTCCTTGCTCCTCAGCTTCTGAGAATTCTTCCAAAATTTCACTTTTTGCAAAACACCTTTATAAATCTCTGAAATCATATAAATAAATAAAAATAATAATAATATAAATAAATAAATAATAAAAATTAAATAAATCTCTGAAGTCTAAAATATAGCTTTGTACAATACTGGTTGTAAAGAACCTGATTTTTCTTTTATCTCATGGTATAAACTATAAAGCTTGGTACATTTTATTTAAGACATAATGTTTGACATGTACTTTATGTTACAGGCGGTGAGGTCACTCAAGGAGACAATTGAAGACTGTTGGGACCAGGATGCAGAGGCTCGTCTTACTGCGCAGTGTGCTGAGGAAAGGATGGCTGAACTTATGATGATATGGGAAAGAAACAAATCTGTGAGCCCAACAGTCAATCCCATGACTACTGCTATGCAGAATGAGCGGTGAGGCCCTGAGGGGTTTGACAACTATATCAGTATTAGAAACTTAGACCAAACAAAAAAACAGGAAATAAATACTGCTAAGCCAACCTAATAAGGCAGTGACTAACTCATACTTTGTAAAGTTTCAATTTTTCTTTTACTATCTCCATTTTTCTACTGAAAAACATTTATTTGGTATGAGTACAAGATGGAATCTGTATTTTTTACATCTGAAGATAAAGAGATTACCCCTTTTTAAATATTTATTTATTTATTTATTTTGAGAGAAAGAGAGAGTGAGAGAGAATCTTTTTTTTTGGTATATGGACACAACACAATGCCCTTATTTTTATGTGGTGCTGAGAATCAAACCCGGGTCCTGCGCGCACTAGGCAAGCACTCTACTGCTGAGCCACAATCCCAGCCCTAATATTTATTTTTTAGTTTTAGATGGACACAATATCTTTATTTTATTTTTATGTGGTGCTGAGGATCGAACCCAGTGCCTCACGCATGCCAGGTGAGCATACTACCACTTGAGCCACATCTTGAGCCCCGAGATTACCCTTTTTTTAAAAGAAAATTTTTTTAGAGGGCTGGGGATGTAGCTCAGTTGGTAGAGTGCTTGCCTCACATTCACAAGGCCCTGGGTTCAATCCCTAGCACCACAAAAATAAATAAATAATATATATTTTTTTAAGTTGTAGATGGACACAATACCTTTATTTTATTTATTTATTTTTATGTGGTGCTGAGGATTGAACCCAGTGCCTAACACATGCTAGTAGGCAAGTGCTCCACTACTGAGCCAAAACCCCAGCCCCAAGATTAGTAATGCTTCAACTTCCCTGAAGTAATGAAAGTAAAATAATTTTATAGTTCAAAAGGTTTATAAGTCTTTCTACATATTGTCTAATATACCCATTATGTTGTTATTCCTTCTTCCTCTGAGTTTTTTTTTTTAATAAAGGATACTGTGAACCTGCTTATATATCTAACTCTGTTTTACTGAACACTAAGGTTTGAAGACTTCCTATCCAATACTCGTTCATTTTTCTTTTTTCTTTTTTTGCAGGGGGGATACTGGGGATTGAACTTAGGGGCTCTCAACCACTGAGCCATATCCCCAGCCCTATTTTATATTTTATTTAGAGATGGTGTCTCACTGAGTTGCTTCATGCCTTGCTGTTGCTGAGACTGCCTTTGAACTTGCAATCCTCCTACCTCAGCCTCCTGTGCTGCTGGTATTACAGGCATGAGCCACCATGCCAACTCCAGTGTTCTTAATAAATTCTAGCATTCTTTCTGTTTTGCCATGAACATTGTTTTATGAGATGTTTCCTTTGTTAGAACTATGAATTTTTAGTTCTAAATTAAAAGGCTTTAAAAAAAATTCCTACAACTTGAAACTTTTAGGCTGACTCATCTCTATTTCTGTGTTCCATATTTAGGAGGAACAGACCTTCCTATGAATTTTATCTAATACATGTTTAAAAATTTCAGAAAGGCATCCAGGAAATAATTACCAGAGAAAATTGAGATTAAAAATATACTTCATTGTTGAATCATTTTCTTTGCTATTTTTTCTTCTTCTCTTTTCTAAGAGGAATTTGTATTATGAACTATTTCTACTACTTATACATAGATCAAATCCATTTCGGATATTTTATATCAATAAGTCAATGAAGGGGCTTGAGTTGGTAGCTCAGCAGTAGAGCGCTTGCCTTGTACATGTGAGGCACTGCATTCGATTCCCAGCACCACATATAAATAAGCAAATAAAATAAAGCTCCATAAAAAACTAAAAAAAATTTTTTTTAAAATAAGTCAAAGAAGGTAGAGACTAGTACTTCTTACTATAAATTCTCTCACTCTACCAATATCTGAGGAAGGCTTGTTTCCATCTCTTTTCGTTCTAATTTTCATTCTAATTTTCTAATATGCTGTTTATACCTGTTTGAAGAGTCAGCTAAAGCTTTTACATTAAATGCTTTTGAACTTTTCTTGAATAGTAAGAAGAAACTCTTGATATTTCCCTTTGGCCTTTCCCCTGACTCCTGTGTTATTCAGCTCTACTCTCTGAGTGTTGCTTCTCATCTCCAGTGTCTGTTATAGATTCCCCTAAATCATAGTCCATTCCATATTCATTCTTATTCTAGGTTTTATTTTTTGCATCTTAACCTCTATACCTACTTAGCTTTCTTTTTTAAATATATATATATTTTTTATTAGTTGTTGATGGACCTTTATTTTATTTACTTCTTTATATGTGGTGCTGAGAATTGAACCCAGTACCTCACACATGCTAGGCAAGCACTATACCACTGAGCCACAACCCCAGCTCTAGCTTCCTTTTCCTGTGACTCTGTAACAGCCTTTTCTTCTCTGCTTTCCTGTCATTTCCCTCATAACTTCATCAGACTTCTATTATAATACCTCTTTTCCTTAAGCATCTGCTTCTCTCCTATAATAGTTTTATCTGTTAATGTTCCCAGTGTTTGTACCTTTATTGTTTTAGTTAAAGCTATCCCTGGTTTTATTTTAGTGAGATCTTATACAATTATAGTGTTACAATGCACTGGTCAAAAACCACCACTTCTGAGGAATGATAATGATTGTGACAAACCCTTGATAACTAGAGAGCAGTTTTGAATCTTTGAGCTTTTTGTTTAAATATTTTTAGTTGTAGATGGACACAATATCTTTATTTTATTTATATATGATGCTGAGGATCAAACCCAGTGTCTCACATGTGCTAGGCAAGTGTTCTACCACTGAGCTACAACCCCAGCCCTTCTTTGAGCTTTTGTCTGAATGTCATTTGATCCTTTATCTGCCTCATAGCCTAGGGTGCAGGACTTTCACAGATTTTGCTTAGACTACCCCAGAAAAAAATGTTCTGTTGCTAGACTGTGCCTCTTAATTGGAACTCTTTGAAACCACCTAAAAACTTATTATTTTTATCATTTGGCTAATATAACTTAATTTATAACATTTGTTGAGTAAGAAGTGGATATTGGGTTATGAAAATATGAAATAAACTTCATGGTTCCTTCTCTTAGCAAAACATAATGTTTAGTTGTATAAGTATATAGTTTGTAAAGGTATATTTGGTAATGTTTTAAAATTGTAGGGGATATTTTTAAGTTGACTCTTAAACCAAAATTAATGAGCATCTATAAAAGTCTAGATTCATAAAGATTTTTCAGTAGTCTTAATTCACATAAAATTAGCATTTAGCAGGTTATTAATACTTGATTATTTTATTAGATCTTTTAAGTAATATAAGTTAGCAGTAAAATGAAAAGCAGCTCAGCCTTTAAAATCAGTGGTTTTACTTGAAGAGACTATTTGTCGTAAATGTATTTTCTCAATGTCACACTTTTTTTCTTTCTTTAAGCAACCTGTCACATAATAGGCGTGTGCCAAAAATTGGCCCTTATCCAGATTATTCTTCTTCCTCATACATTGAAGATTCTATCCATCACACTGACAGCATTGTGAAGAATATTTCCTCTGAGCACTCAATGTCCAGCACACCTTTGACTGTAGGGGAAAAGAACCGTAATTCAATAAATTATGAACGACAGCAAGCACAAGCTCGAATCCCCAGCCCTGAAACGAGTGTCACCAGTCTGTCCACCAACACAACAACCACAAACACCACTGGTCTCACTCCAAGTACTGGTATGACCACTATATCTGAGATGCCATACCCAGATGAAACAAATCTCCATGCCATAAATGTTGCACAGTCAATTGGGCCAACCCCTGTCTGCTTACAGCTGACAGAAGAAGACTTGGAGACTAACAAGCTAGACCCAAAAGAAGTTGACAAGAACCTCAAAGAAAGCTCTGATGAGAATCTGATGGAGCATTCTCTTAAACAGTTCAGTGGGCCAGACCCACTGAGTAGTACCAGTTCTAGCTTGCTTTACCCACTCATAAAGCTTGCAGTAGAAGTGACTGGTCAGCAGGACTACACCCAGGCTGCAAATGGCCAAGCATGTTTAATTCCTGATGTTCCACCCACTCAGATATACCCTCTCCCTAAACAACAGAACCTTCCTAAGAGACCTACTAGTTTGCCTTTGAACACCAAAAATTCAACAAAGGAGCCCCGGCTAAAATTTGGCAGCAAGCACAAATCTAACTTGAAACAAGTAGAAACTGGAGTTGCCAAGATGAATACAATCAATGCAGCAGAACCTCATGTGGTGACAGTCACCATGAATGGAGTAGCAGGTAGAAACCACAGTGTTAACTCCCATGCTGCCACAACCCAGTATGCCAATGGGGCAGTTCCATCAGGCCAGACAGCCAACATGGTGACACATAGGGCCCAAGAAATGCTGCAGAATCAATTTATTAGTGAGGATACCCGGCTGAATATTAATTCCAGTCCTGATGAGCATGAACCTTTGCTAAGACGAGACCAACAAGCTGGCCATGATGAAAGTGTTCTAGATCGTCTTGTGGACAGGAGGGAACGGCCACTAGAAGGTGGCCGAACTAATTCCAATAACAACAACAGTAATCCATGTTCAGAACAAGATGTTCTTACACAGGTTGTTTCAAGCACAGTAACAGATCCAGGGCCATCAAAGCCCAGAAGAGCACAGAGGCCCAATTCTCTGGATCTTTCAGCCACAAATGTCCTAGATGGCGGCAGTATACAGAGTAAGTGGAGGGATCATGGAACATCTCTTAGGTATTCTTTGAAGCTATTTAAATAACTACATAAAGTCAGAATGTATTCCAACCAGTGACTGTTTACCTTTATCACTTTGGGAAATAGAAATAAACCATTTGGTTAGGCTTCAAAAGTAATTGGACTATTGTAAGAAGAAACAATTTTGTTATAAATAATTAAAAGGTGAATGTCACAATAGAATTCCCAATTTAATATATGCTTTATGTGAATGCTACTTTCATGCACTTATTATGAGCAGATAGGATTAAATAAATACCAGTTTAACAGCTCTAAATAACATTATGCCATTATAATTTTTGATATATTTTTTACACATATTAGCGTCTATTATACCTACATTTTTATTTTAACCTTAGTAAGTCTTAAAAGTACATAGAAATTTCAGAAAAGCGATTATGAAGAAACTGTTAAAGTTGTTCTCATTTGCTTAGTGTCATCTTTTTCAAGAGTTACATGTTGAATTCCACCTGTACTTATGGTATTGTATTATGGGCAACAGGACAACTTAAATAATAAGTTGATGCTTGGGTTTTGGCCCTAAAGGTATTACAAAACAAGATAGGAAAGCTCACTAAAATTTCTAACAGTCATCATTATACAAAATGGTTTGTCTTTAAACTGTCAATACATAAGGAAGAAAAAAAATGTCATGTTTTATGGTTGTTACAGACTATAAAATGGACTGCAAGAAAGATACAAGTCCCCCCAAAAAACAATGTAGCCGCTTGCTTAAGTGGCTTGTATTATAGACCAGTCGACACACCCTTTTTGCAGGGCTCTGTGTCAATAAAATAGCTTGCCAGGTATGGGAAGAGAGAATTACTGGACAATTTGTACCCTAATATTTCTTTCCTTCCTCTGAAAAAATATATGCTTAGATGCCTTTAAAATCTGATCTACTTTGAGCATTAAGTAGAATAATTTACCAAATTGGGATCTCTACCAAAACCAAAAAATTTGAGAAAACACCTAAGGACTTCTGAATTTTCTCCATTTATACTTGTGTATTTTCTATATTTTATTTATTTCTCTGTAATTCAGTCAGTTACAAAAATGTTTGACATAAAGAGTTTCAAAATGAATTGGTTAAATTTTGCCTAGAAAAACATTGCCTGGCATTGTGAATTTCAAGAAATTTGCATTATCGTCTTCTATAGATATTGGCTTGACCTACTCTTGAAATTCAACCCTAACCTTTTACTTCTTAATGTTTTCTTTATACACATTTCATTTTTCCATACTTTTATTTTCAGTAGGTGAGTCAACACAAGATGGCAAATCAGGATCAGGTGAAAAGATCAAGAAGCGTGTGAAAACTCCCTATTCTCTTAAGCGATGGCGCCCTTCCACCTGGGTCATCTCCACTGAACCACTGGACTGTGAGGTCAACAACAATGGCAGTGATAGGGCAGTTCATTCCAAATCCAGCACCGCCGTTTACCTTGCAGAAGGAGGCACTGCCACAACCATGGTGTCTAAAGATATAGGAATGAATTGTCTGTGAAATGTTTTCAAGGTTACGGAGTGAGATTATTTTTTGCATCATTTAAACATGCAGAAGACACTTAAAAAAAAAAACTGCTTTATCCTCCTGTCAGCACCCCTTCCCACTCCTGCAACAAGGACTTGCTTTAAATAGATTTCAGCTATGCAGAAAAATTAGCTTATGCTTCCATATTTTTTAATTTTGTTTTTTTAAGTTTTGCACTTTTGTTTAGTCTCGCTAAAGTTGTATTTGTCTGTTATGACCACAGAATTATATGTGTGTGTATCAAAAGTGGTCTCAAAATATTTTTTTAAGAAAAAAAAAGCAAAAACATTGTATTGCTGATAATCAGTTTGGACCATTTTCTAAAGGTCATTAAAACAGAAACAAATTAAGACAGGTTTGCCTGCAGTGGTGTCTGGTATCCATGTTTTATTTCTGGGCACAAGCTAGTTTATATGTTGATATGTTCTTAAACATATTATCTGTTGGACATTCTTTTCTCTTGTATTTTGTTTGAATGTGCAATAGTCTGTAGACCACAAATAAGCTTTCTTGTAAGCGCTCTTCCTAATGGGGCACACATTCTTCCATAATATGAACATTTTTCTCCCCTCATTCTTCCATAATCTGAAAAGTTTTCTCCCCTATCTCCCATGCTTTTTGTAGGTCAGTTCTGTGACAGTGAATTTTGCACAGAAGAAAGCAGCTACCTGATTTCTTGCTTTCTCTCTCTTTTTGGAGAATGCAGAAACATTGTCTGAAAGGGCTCTGTAGAAGAAACTACCAAAACCCATTTTGAAATGCCATATTCTTTTAACCTTCCAAATCTTAAACATATCCTTCTGGGCATTTTAACAAGTATATTTGATTCTGGTTTTGGAAGTTCATAAAAGAGCAGAGAACAAAATACAAGAAATCAAATATTAGCTTTTTAACTTTTAATTTTATTTTTGTATATACATGTTCCATATTCATTTATTTAAGAAATACATTTTTATCAGAAAACATTTAGAGTTAAACTTACATGGAATTTTAGTAAGTAGGTGGTTAAGACATTATAGTTTTATAACCTTCATTCTCTGAATAGGCCATCTTTGACTCAAAGAAAATTACATTTTTCTTTTATTGTAACTTCAAAAATAATTCATAGTTTTGATCCTGTAGTACTTTATTGTGTTCCCAAGCAAAGCCTAGTGACTTTATGTGAAAATTATTTCCTTTACCCATGACCTAAAACACTGTGTAGAAAATTCATTCAACTGGCATGCCAAATCTCTATGGCAGGAAGGAATACTGCCAAACTTACCTTTCTTGAACAGGCTGAGATTTACCCTCTCTCTCTTTGCAAAACTGTGTATTTCATCCGTAGTCCTCATTTCATAATTTCTCCTGTTGCTAGTTTTTCACATAATCTCTGATATGTGAGCAGAATTTATTATTTATATTGCATTAGAATACACCTTTTAGTGATAGTAAACCCTTAAAATAATATTGTTTTTAAAGCTTCCTTGCCTCTTTGATTACTTATATTTTTTTTCTAAAATAACAACTTCTGCATGTTTTTTTTTAATTAAGCACTTTCTTTCAAATAAGGAATTTTTTTCCTAAACAAATTATATTCTGACAATTTGAAAACAGTGATCTCACTTATTTTTTTCAGATTCATGGAATACTTAGTATAACATTATCTGATTAAGTTCTAAGATTTTTCTGGGACATAAAAAGTTAAGAGAAAAACATAAATCCCCAAATTTCTGATTTAAGTTCTTACCTCCTGAAAAATATTTTCTCATTCATACTCTCTGTCTTAAGCATTTAGTAAAAGACAGCTTAAACTTCCCAGCTGGCTGTCCAAAATATTTGTGACTTATTTATATATAAGCCTTCTTATTGCCATCTGCTGTGATGTTATGAGTTAGAGATTACAACATTTACCATTTATTCAACTGGATTGCTGATTACAGGTCTTGATTCTTAGAATTAAGATTATTTTTAGTGCCCAGGATTTCCACCTTTTGTGTTTTATTGGACCTTTCTTGTGATTCAGACCTTTAACATATTTTTTAGTCTTCTGGCATATAACTTTTTCATAAAGCTATTATCTTTTATCTTTGTGACAAATTATTTGTAGTTTTTCCCAGGAAATTTTCATTTAGTTCTCTTGTCTTTAAATGTCTTTCAAATGCATTTCACAATAGTCTTTTCAAACATTTAGGAGACAATATTGAATCAAAATAAATTATATTTCATCTCCAAGCATTAAGGATAAATGACTATCTGAGGTTTTAACTGACCTTTTCCTATCAGACGAAGAGTTCTGTATGCTCTGGTAGACTTTCTATTTGGGCCAGTCCACTTTAAGTTTTTCAACATTTTTTAATGTTCAATAATAAAATGCTTTAAAAAATAACTTACCTAATTAAAATAACTGCATAGTTTCCATTTCATGCAAACATGTTTAAAACAATTTTCTTTCCCCAGTTATTTTAGTCAACTGTTGAAAAAATAGGAGAGGTAGAAAGTATGGATCATATTAAAAATTTAGGTTAAATTATACATCAGACTTTTAGAATTTTTGTAATATATAAGTAAGAAAATCACTTTAAATGATTTAAATTGTATAATTGCTAATTTTATTCATGTAACAATAAATGTTTCTTAAAGCTGATATTTAAATGCTATCACAAAATTTTGCGTTTAGAAAAGAATTTGGGTCTTTTTAAATAAAGGGCCACTGAATTTGAAAATATGAAAACTTATTTCACTAGGTATTAATGTAACCTTAAAAGTGTCATGCTAGGTAATCATGCTAGGTAACTCTAATATCAGTTCCCTTAACAAATCTAAATTGTATACCAGAATTAAGTAATTAAAAGAACTTGATTTGGATTTTGTTTACACTAAATGATTTAAATATAAATCCTAAAACCTTTTTCTTTCTTTTTTTTTTACATTTAAATATTTTCTAAAACTTTTTTCTAAATGTATAATTGGGAAAGAAAAAAAACTGTTCTTGTAGAAAGTATGAAAAGGCACATACAGAATACTGGGAGATATATATGGTACTTAATCCTCACAGTGACCCAAATGAGCTAACGTTCCCACTTTACAGATGAGGAAAACAAAGTTAAGAGAAACTAGATAATTTGTCCAAGGTTCACATCTAGTTACAGACAAAGATGGGATTTAGCCTGTGTCTGCCTCTCTACATCTCTTATGTGTAGCACATTGCCTACATACTGTATGACAGGTTGTGTATTGTACTGACATTTTTAAGAAATTCAGTCATTATATTCCAGCACAATTATGGTTTGTATATAAGCCAAAGCAGACACCTTAATGATTTTAGCAGTTAGGCAACCATAAAATGTATAGACGTGCCTATGCCTTTTGTTGCTTAAGACATAATTACTAGTTCAAAACAAAATTCAATCTTAAGTTTGCCACCTTAAAATAATTCACCTAACTCCTAGCTTTCTTATTTTGCAGAACTAAAGGAAAAGTAAATTTTAAGGAAAAAGTGAAGGTAGTTTTGGGAACGTTTTCCTAAAATGATTCCATACTAGATTTGGAAAAATTAAATTAGCATAGAACTTCAATCTCATCAATCCTTTGAAATTTTTAATCTTTGAAATTTCTGCATTTAGTGACTTTAGAAAATTTGTTAATCCAGAGAACTAATTGAATAGGATATGGGAAAGATACAAGGATAATATTATCTTTCACGAAGTAATGTAGCTTCCTCATATGTACTTACTTCTAGAAAATGAAAATTGATTCTGAATATAAAAATAACTAGAAAAGAAGAAACACTACTCAAGTAAGTATGTGTTTCAGTTAGAATTATCACAAAATTGGCAAATCTTTTTATGTAAAATATTTACAAGTTTGTCTTCTAAAGCCAAGTTAGGCCACAGCTATTATACTGAATTTTTAGTCTCTGTAAATATGTCTCTTGAAAGTCATTTAAAAAAATTGAATATGTCAATAAACTTTTTATTTTCTTTTTTTCATACTTACAGGCATGAATATTTCATTGGAGATTGTTAACTCTTAGAACTTGATGTGACGTTATATTTCTATACCACATTTTATAAATACATGTTGAACTTACTACCAGTTATATGCAGGTTATTTTACATGATTATTCACAGATTGCTTTATATATTACCTTATCTTCTTAGCAAACTGTACTCTTATAATGTGCACACTTGATTATCTAGACCAGCCATTCTAGAAATTGAGTAATAACTCCCACATACACCCAGGAGTCTCTTTCAGACTGGGATATTTCTAAATATTCATAGCCTTGATTGATAGTGGGGTTTTTTCCCAGCAATGAAGTTGCATTTTACCTTTGAGATTATGAACTATGCAAACTGCCCCAAACTACCTTACATGATCTCTTCCTAGATATATTCATTAAATAAATCTGGCAAATCACTGTTGGAGCTAGTTACACAAAAGTTATTATCCAAAGAAGGCTTTTCTGCACGTTTCTAGATTAACATATGAGAAAAGAGGATATCACAGAGAGTGTTCTAGTGCACCTACCCATTACTCTCTTTAAATTGCCACATGGTTTATATCTGGTTTACTCTGTTCCTCTGCTATCTGACTTGCAGTTTTATGTGTCAGAAAAGTTTTCTGCATGTCTATTCTGTCTCCCTCTTGCTTCATTTTTAAATCCATTTCTTTACCCAGTAGGGAAAAAAAAAAAGAACAATTGGTCATCATCTCTAACACTGTTACTCTAGTATACTTCAGACTTCTCAGTTAATATCTAAATCTCAGTTCTTCAGACAAAATTGTTTCAATCTCTTTAGCTTTTCCTTCTCAGTTCCATTTTAATGACCTTATATTTAAGAGCACATAAAATTATATTTTATATTTTACTCAAATTAATTACTCCATTTAAGTAATAGTTCAGTAGTTTTATAGAATTGAGAGTTAGTTATCATTTGACATTAGATTCAATCATCAGACTACCAGCAAATCAGCACTTAATTTTTATATTATCTAACATTTTCTATTGTGAAGTTTTTATGATTTTATATTTTCATTAATTATAACTAAAAAGCCATGCATACAGAATTGTATATCATTTTGCCATTAAAATTTTTAACTTACATTGCAGTAAGCTTAGTATTTATTGAACCACAATGTTTTACATTTCTTTGTATCAGTTGTTGTGTTGACCACTAAACACAAGATTCGTTTTTAAAAACAAACCCTACAAAAATCAGGTATAATTCCATGAACATTTTTGTAGACCACTTTTGAAATACTTATCATTGTTTTGCAACATGGACTGGACTATAACAGCTTTCCTTTAACTTTTAAGTGACTGATTAAAGTTGAGTGTTTGCATATAAAGAAAAATTTAAACATTTATCTCATGGCAGATACATTTGAAAGTAAATAATTTAGGAGAATTTATGCTGTGTATTAAAATTATGCCCCAAATAAATCTTTCATATCTTTAAAAATTCCAATTCCGTTATTACTGTGATGTTTATAGCTTTGTTATTAAACCTTGTGAACATATGCATTTATTTTAAAAACTTAATTTGACAACCACATTAAAATCTGAGTAAGAGAAGGAATCTTTAGAAATAAAATTACTTCATTAGGGTGTTCAGTTTGTGATTGAATATTTAAGAAAATTGCTGTATTTAAAATTACAACTTTATTTTTTTTTCAGTTTTAAAAGATAACATATGGGGTTTTTCCCATTTTATTTGTACTTTTAGGTTTCAGAAACATCTTCCTGTTTTAAAATCACTTTATACACATAATATTACTTAAAAACTCAGGGCCCCTTTCATCTTTTGTATACTGAAAAAGTTCAATTGGTAACAAACAAGCAATTAGATCCAGTTGAATATTTAAAGTGTTTGTTGCACAGTTTATTTAATGACTTGTGTTATTATTTGACTTACTTCACATAGACATGATATCAGATTTCTTTAATCATAAAAACTTGCCCAGTTCTGTAATTACTGAATAAAAAGAATGACTCAACTAATTAGCTACATGTTACAACAAATTTAGGCCTTAGAGTTGAAGTACTGGCTTAAACTTTTCTGTTCATTGATTAAATGGCTATCCATGATGGGACAAATAATTTTGTTTTGTTTTTTTAATAACAAAGTAATTCCTCTGAAAATTTTCTTAAGAGGTAATTTAACATTATAAAATTTTCTTCTAAAATTAAACTATTGAGTTTATAGCTTTAGTAATAGCTTGAATGATTCTGAGAGATAATCTATGGTAATCTATCACATTGTCAGAGCCAAATAGAATTTTTCTTTGAATCAGATAAGCTCAAGCTCTAAAATGGTATGCTGTGTTTAATTCTAGCAATGAAGTTGTTTATAATCAGTCTCTTGTCTCAGGATCCCCATCGTGTTACCAATCCTCTTAAGTATGTAAAAGAAGCTTATTTTTAAAGAAACTTAACAGTAAGGAAACTAAATTACTAAAAAATACAGCTAAAAAATTGTTAAATTCTGGTTTATCATTGAATTGCTTGACTTCTGTGGCTTTTCTTATTCTGGTCACATTTATTTATTTAAGCAATTTTTGTATGCCTTGTTATTTCATTTCCATAGAGATTATATTGTATAAGTGTTTGTATAAGCTGGAATCATCCTTAGTTTTCTGTTGATGATTTTTCAAATGAAGATACATGGATAATTGTAAAATACACTAACTCCTAGGGTGTTGTAGTAGCTGAAACATGGAAATGTGTAGCTGCCATGCTTTTTCTGAATGGACAGGAAAGACATAAGCTACAGAGTATTCATTTCTGAGGATGCTTTTCTAAAAAAAAGAAAGGCTGAAAAATAATGGCACTTCCTCAGAACCCTCTTTCTTGTTAACGGGTATCTTTTGTTGGTGTGTTTTGCTCTTACATTACAGATAGAATATCATATTATGAATTTATGAATAATTACTTTCAATTATTTTGCTTTTGTATAAGCCGTCTGAGACCTTGCTATGCTGTACAAGTTGTATTTGATGGATCAGTGTGAGTATGAAATAAAGCAAATCACTTTTCTTTTGTATTATCTATGGATGCCACTATGAAAGCTGACATTAAGCCACTAAAGAGTTTTCTATGAATACGTGTAAGTAAATGCTTTGATATATATAAACCTAAATAAAAAGATTGTATTGATACAAAGACATTGGAGAAGGAGATTTTAAGACAGTTATTTAGGTTTAAAAAGGCTTGCTGTAAAATGGTGCATTATTCCATTTATTAAAGATCATATTAATGACAACAGTAATTGTACTTTTTTATTTTATGAGGTCTCTAGAAATTATTATTACTAGTATGATATTTTAGGTATTTTGCACTTGAATATTAAATGTTCAACCTAATATATCTACAACTAACTGTGACACATATAAAAAAAAAAAAACCCTGAAGTTAGAATAATACTTGCTACTTTCTGGCCACCTACAGTATGCAGGGATCAATCCTCAGTACACCAGACAAACACACAAGGCTGGGGATGTAGAGTGCTTGCCTGGCATTCATGAAGCCCTCAGTCATCTTCTGCTTTATTCTATGCTGTTTCTTAAAGGTGAAGTTTTATATTTGCAACTTGTATTTTATTGGAATGACATTATTTGCCTTTTAAAAAATTGACTAATTATTACTATACTGAGAGATATCAGAAAGTATGTTCTAATTTCTGCCCTCCAGGAACTTATACCTATTATGGAGGAGATAAGGTGCCTAACCAGGAAATGGTTACTTCCAAACAAGGTGATATTGTAAGTGCCCAAATATGGTAAGCCATATGCCCAATATGTGTTTGAAAAGCCAAGGAGGACATCAGCTGAGAAAATGATTATTGAGCCAGGATCTTGAAAGGATGAGTGGGATTTCAACAGGACTAATGAAGTAGAGATTTAAAAAAAAAAGAATGTGGACTAGAAATAAAACAGACTAAGTAGAATTGAAGTTTTGAAAGCCTTCCCTGGATAAGACACAGAAAGTCAATTTGTTCTCTTTAAATGCCTCATTAGATCAACTTGAATAATCACCAAGTATCATAGATAACCAGTTCAATAAACATTTACTTAAAAATAAACAACTTTAGCAGGGTGTGGTGGCACACACCTATGATTCCAGTGACTCGGGAGGCTGAGGCAAGAGGATCACAAGTTCGAGGCCAGCCCCAACAACTTAATAAGACCCTGTCTCAAAATAAAAAGGGCTGGGGATATAACTCAGTGGTAAAGCACCCCTGGGTTAGATCTCCAGTACCAAAAAAAAAGAGTAGTTCTGAAGTTACATGATATTTAAAGAGAATAATGTATCCTAGTAAATTAAGACATTTGACATTTGGGGGTGGTCCATTCCCTGCTCTGCAAAAATGAGTATTCAAGTTGCCTTTAAAGGCCTGGGTAGGAGTAGCTCAGTGGCAGAGTGTGTGCTTAGCATACACAAAGCCATGGGTTTGGTCCCCAGTCAAGCCAAAAATCAAGATGTCCTAAAGTGAAAGATGGTAGAAAGATGGCAAGGAGGTGGGTGTTCATTGTAGATATAAGGTCTTAAGAAAAGCTACCCTTCTTTTGTCAGGTGCTTCCTTCTCCCAGCAAATACTCAATCAGCCAGCTTAATTTCCCAACTATAGGATTCTTCTCCCCTTTCTACTTAGTTAGGAAGTAGGCAAACCCCTATTCAAAGAAACAGGCATCCTTTCATTTTTTTTTTAAGTTGTAATAAATGGAACAAATGAAAGTGAAGTTTTCCTTTGCTTTCCTACCTCCCCAATGATAATTAAACTCCTTAATGATTTATGTCAGATATGGAAAATATGCTTAATGTCCTAAGGAAAAAATATTTAAGGAAACTCATCAGTCTCTTTAGATGTCATACGACTTCAGAACTACCCAGTTTTTGAAAAGTTAATGTTTCATTTATTTATTTTGAAGTAAATAAGTTTATTAAAGTGGCTTATTCATGACATTTGGTGATCCCTATAGGAGTCTTATCTTCTCACTTTTAAAAAGTATATGAAAAACTACTGTATCTCTCTTCTCTTAAATTTCATTGTCTCTTCTTACCAGGTCACTGAGTTCAAGTTTCTACCTGAAATTCCAACTTGTCTGCCTGTAGTGGCTGTATACCTCTGGAACCTTATCTTTCTCCGTTTCTACTATAGTTTACAGCTATGTGTTTATTTTATTTCCTATACTAGATTGTTAGCCTTTTGCATCAAGAGGGAGTGTGATCAATTTTCTCTCTTTAAAGTACCAATATTTAATTTATGGGTATGCTGATATCAAAGTCTTTTTTCCCCCATTTTAAAAGTACATTCTCACTTATCCTGTATTAATCAGGCTTTTTAGTCTATCTGGTTACTCTTTGTGCTTGGAAGTAATTTAATTGCAGGTCGTTTCATAAGTTATTTTATGGGCTTGGTGGCACATAATGGGAGTTAAAATTGTACAAAATGATAAGCCCTGAGGAAATGGGTAGGTTGCTACCTATGACTACAAAGAAATTTAAATAAACAAGTAGCAGTATTACCTAAAATCTACATTTAGCACCATGACTGTAAAAAGAGTAAGTTTAAAAATTAGGTTCATTAGGGCTGGGGTTGTGGCTCATGGGTAGAGCACATACCTTGCATGTGCAAGGCCCTGGGTTCGATCCTCAGAACCACATAAAAATAAATAAATAAAATAAGGTTTAAAAAATAGGTTCATAAGTAAAATGCTTTTGTCTTTTTTTTTTTAACTTGTTTTGCTCCTTACCTTTTCAATAGTGTTAGTGATAACACTAAAATCCCCACTCCTCTGGTGCCCAGCAAGCAAATCTGCATACTATTTTGACCACTAGGTGGCTCTCTTACTTCATGTTCTAATAGTTGGGCCTCTCCATTCTTTTCAAGGACTAAACATTTCTGTTATCAAATTTGATTCTTAATGATTTCTTATTGATTAGGAATTCTTGGCAGGATACTTTATCAATACTATTTATATTTAAAAAGTCCATTGCTTTCCACAGGCTGAGATTTTGTGTAGGCAAAAAGCCTACAGGGTTACTACTCTCCAGAACAGCACATATAAAAACTGCCTGGTTTTTAATAAGCATGATCTCAAGTGCATGTACAAATATGTAACAACAGATTCCACCATGATGTAAAACTATACCACACCAATAAAATATATGGGAAAAATAGCCAGGCACAGTGGCACATGCCAGTTTCCCAGCAACTCAGGAGGCTGAAGCAGGAGGATCACAAATTCAAAGCTAGTCTCAGCAAACTTAGCAAGATGCTGTCTCTAAATAAAATATAAAAAGGGGTGGGATGTGGTTCAATGATTAGGCAACCCTGGATTTAATCCTTGATATTTCCACACTACCCCCCCCCCAAAAAAGGAAAATATAAATAAACATGGTCTAGGTACCCTAGGCTTCACTTTTGTTTCATAATGAAACATAATTTATAATTTCTGAGACATTGAAAAGGCATCTTTCATGGAACCCTAGCATTTTCCAGGATTCTATTAAAGTACCAGAGATCTATGAAGATACTTTATAAAAAAGAAGTTTGGTTTTAGATTTTTTTAAGATCCATTTTTGTCTTTGGCTTTATCAATATTTAATTTTTTAGGAAACAATTTCTGATTACCTTATTATTTTCTCTTCTCTATTTTTTTTCTTTAATCTTTGTGTGTGTGTGTGTGTGTGTGTGTGTGTGGTTTTTTTATTGGTTGTTCAAAACATTACAAAACTCTTGACATATCATATTTCATACATTAGATTCAAGTGGGTTATGAACTCCCATTT